AAAAAAAAAAAAAAACTTCATGTTTACCTTTTAAAAAACACTTGCTTCTCCTACATATCCATCATTTAGGTGGTTCAGCCAAACAATGGGCCACCATTGGAAGAAACAATGAGGACATGGTCTATAAACTCATGGAGAGGTCACCAGGGTATAACATTCCTACTCATTGGTATTTGCTTAAAGAAACTCTGGAAGGTTTCAGAAGAACCTAGTGAAACTAATAGAGGTATTTCTCTGCGTGGGGAGGCAGGGGGACCTGGGAAAATGGTGACAGGACGGAGTGAGGCTTCCTACAATGCACTGTCTTGATGTCCGAATGTTTTGAATGCATAAGATTCCATCACCTATTAAAAATAAATACATTAAGGGGCACCTGGGTGGCTCAGTCGGTTGAGCGTCCAACTTCAGCTCAGGTCACGATCTCGCAGTCCGTGAGTTTGAGCCCCGTGTCAGGCTCTGGGCTGACGGCTCAGAGCCTGGAGCCTGCTTCCGATTCTGTGTCTCCCTCTCTCTCTGCCCCTCCCCCGTTCATGCTCTGTCTCTCTCTGTCTCAAAAATAAATAAACGTTAAAAAAAAATTAAAAAAAAAATACATTAAGAAACTCCATTTCTTCATACTTTACTAAAGGGAAGTTTCCCCTAAAGACTTCTTACGTGTGTTATAAATGACATTTGGCTCTATGTATGTACATCAATAAAGTACTGGCCCATTTGATTTCTTTTCCTTCTTTATAAAACATCACAGCAGGAAAAGGCAACGGGATGGAAGGGGGAGAGTGCTGGTCAGGAAGCGAGGAGACCTTGGGCATTACTGCAATTCTCCATGCGTCAGCTTCCTTATGTGTAGCATGGGATAACTGTATGCATAGCGCACTGTCATTTTCAGAATTAGTTAAATGAAATTATATGTGTGAAAGCATCTTGAGGGCTCAGAAGTACCCTGTAAACGTCGAGTCGTCTAGCCCCAGATGCTGGGCACCAGCACGGGGGGCAAGAGCACACACTGGGCTGGCTTTTCCTCTGCTGCACCATGCTGGACAGGCTTCAGGCCTGGACTTCCTGAGTGAGTCCCCACAGGCGCTCCTGGCTATGCGTCACCGAACAGTCCTCTCACTCAATGCCTACACCTGCTCAGCCAAGAAAACTGGTGGATCCACTGGTTCTAAGCTTCAGGAAGCCAGACACCCCGACCTCACACTCCCTGGCCCACAATGGGAACAGTGGTATGTCCTAGAGGGACTCTTGAATCACTGCGACAGGCAGCTTTCCCGAGCCTCTCGTTGGTGAGCTTTGCTCGGTCATTACTATTGATTATGGCTCGCATATAGCACTCCTACAAGCGTCTAAGTGTTAGCTGTGCCAGAATTACCCTGTTCCTCTCTGGCCTCACACCTAATGGAAAGTTTAGCACTGCCCACCTCTTTGCACACCCTCATTTCATGTCATCAGAAAGCCTTCCAGATTCGGTATTCACCACTTTTTCCATCGCTGTTCCACAGAGGCTGTAAAATTCCATTTTCTCAGATACCACTTCTCAACTGCACATGGGATTTAGTTCAGGAAGAAGAAAGCAAATCCCAAGATTAAGTGAATGGACGAGAAGGGTTCTTCCCCCTCTTCCCTGAAGGCTGGAAATCGAGGACTGCCCTGTGTCTCCCTAGGACGGCTTCTGAGGACAGCACAGCGTGGGAGTAGCTGGTCCCTCAAGATGTACTTTCTGCTCTAGGATTCTAATCAGAGCTTAAAACTAATCTGCGAGGGACCTCAAAATGTCATCAGGTCTAATTCCTTGCCTTGAAGCACATAAGGTTTTATTAATGGGAATGCAAGCTGGTGCAGCCACTCTGGAAAACAGTA